AGTAGTAGGGCCAGGAGCCCCTAGTAGCGATGCCCTTTGCTCCTAGTTGCGTCCTTGCTCCTAGTAGTAGGGCCAGGAGTCCCTAGTAGCGATGCCCTTTGCTCCTAGTAGCGTCCTTGCTCCTAGGTTGGAGGCTACACTCGCTTTGAAGTCTTTTGGGCCATCGGAACCAGGGGATCGTCAGGAGCTCCTACAGCTCACCAAAAAGTTCCTGGTCTCAGAGGCGCCGGAGAAGATCTTTTCTGGGGACGGCACCTTGCTGGCGGAGAACTTTCGTTTTGTGGGGCCATACATCGGGCCGTTGGACAAGAAGGTGCCTTGAAAAAAAGGACCCGGTGGGAGGTGGACTTGTTAAGGTGGACGTGGTTCGACGTTGTTCAACATGGTGACTGATGAATAGATTCATTATGATTATGCCGCGGGAGAGAGAGAGAGAGAGAGAAAGAGAAATTCATTATGATTCGTTACTAGATTCATAGATCCTTTGCTACCACCTCTGGTGGGTGGCAGGCAGGCTTGACTGACCACGTCCGAGGCATTTTATGGACAGCGCGATGCCATCGATTTCTTCCAATCTTTCCCTGATGCCTCTGCACAGTTCCACAACTTCAGGCGTCGACAAGTTGGCCGCTGCGCATCACTGGAAACGGTTGATCCACCAAGATGCGAGTTCACTGGTCACTGAAGTTCACTGAAGTTGTTGATTTGTGGCATTTTGTGGCGAAACAATTGTATCTACTGGCTAAGCAGAGTTATGGGACACTGCAGGTGTTATTTTTACCTCAATCTTCCGCCATGGTCTTTTTTTAGACCCTCTGGTTTTGAGCTCTTATTTCAACCCCTCAAATCGATTTCAGACCCTTACACAGATTTCTGCCCCTGGCTAATTCCAGTTGTGAACAAAAGCATTGATAACATAAAGCATTGCACACAACACAGCCTCAACCGAATAGAACATGACATCTGGTGATGATTCTTCAGTTGGTGGTGGATCATGTGAACTGCGAGCAGGAGGACAAACAACTTGGCTTGGTTCTGCTCTTGTTTGTGTCTCACCACTGTCTTTGTACCCTACACCCTCCCCAAGCACACCTTTCTTGCCCACACTCTGCACCACATCCACAAATCAGAGTCCCATCCGTTTGGCCTTCTTGAACTTGCTAATCACGAATCTCGCTTTAATTTTGTAAGCAAGCACAGTATTGTGGACGATGTGCCGGTAGCCTATCCGCCTTGATTGCTTCCCAATCTTGCCTACAAAGTCTTCAGAAGATGATGTGTCCCAAACAGCAGGGTTGATACAGTAGGAATGTTGCCAAGCCCTTTCCAAGTCAAAGTAGAGGTGTCCCAAAGCATGGGCTTTTGGGACAAGCCCAAACAATGTCATTTGACGTCCAAAAGCGTGAGATGCTAGGCGACTGTAGGTGTGACAAAACCCTTTGACAGATCGGTATAGATGATCCCTGCACCCAGGACTGAGCCACAAACCATGGCGATGAATACCTCCAAAGTTTAGCCCTTGATCACACCCCAGCTTGACAAGCCGCACCTCTTCACTGCCATTGCCACTGACAATCTGAAGTCCAGCGAACCATTGAAGATATGACAGTAGAAGTACAGTGTCACTACCCTTGCACGAGACAAAAGGGTAGGAAGTTGTTGTGCTGTAATGTAACTTCTCTTTCGAGAACGACCGCATAGATGCTGGATTCTTGTCGTGGGCTGCACACCACAAGGAAAATGAGGCCCAAGCACGCTTCAATCTTCCAACAACTGAAGAATCATCACCAGGTGAGTCATACAAACCACTGTTGCAAAACATGATGATAGAGGAGGCACAAAAGTTCCGTGCTATCCCTAACCGGAACACATGGAAGGGATCGTACCGGAAGAAATTTGCTGCAGCACCATGGCTCCAATCCGTTTCAAACGGAATCTCCTCGTATGGAGGCGCTTCAGTCCAGGGAACTCTAGCGTCCAGGGTTTGCATCCATGCAGCATCACTGCGAAAGGATTCAAAAGGAACCCCCACACCCCCTGCCATGCAAAGGTGGCAACAAGGAATCTCGTTCTTTGTTCCAACATTTTGGTAGCTCCTGTTCAGCACACCAGTTTTACTGTGCCACTCTGCATCACCTCGGAGTCCAATTATTCCAATGTGCCACTGTTTTTCATGTCCTGGAACTGTAACACCTTGACGACAGCATGTTGCAATTTCGTGCGACACCTGGCGAAGCATGGCCTTGAGGAGGCCTGGTGTTTCTTTGTACTTCTTGGACGGAAAGCAGAATAGCAGAAAGTGATGGAGATAGGAACTGTGAGAGTTGTTCAGCTTTTGCAGCATGGGATCCTGGATGGAAAAATCTTTGGAGTAGCAAAACGGCCGGGGACACTTGCATTCCAAATCTTGCTTTGTATTGAGTCCAAGAACGGCAATTAAAGAAACCACCTCAAGCGGCTGCTTTTTGACTGTTCGGGCACCATCCCCATGCATCATCATAGGCACCGTCCAATCCAAATCAATTTCATTTCTGTCAGCCATCTCAAAAATCTTATGG